CCAGCCAACCTTGACTCGGTTGGAGCCGAGGTTGAGCAGCTCAAAACACCTACTGGTGCTTAGCCAGGTCACACCAACAGTTAGACTAATTAAACAACCTTCCTATGTACAAAGCTAAATCATATATGGCCAGATAATATTATAAAGTCAAGTAAATCCATTTTAGCTACTAATGGAATTACTCCTGAATATAATATTAAGTGAAAAAGCCAAATTAACATGTAAAAATATATTGCCAAACTAACAAGTAGAAACAGTCTACTTAAAATGAACAAAAGGGTGTAATGCCTGTATCCTTTCTAAGTCTAAATTTATCCAACTTTAATCCATTGCTGTTAGTCCTATCTTGTATATTTTAAGCACATTATTTATATCTACTTTATTCCAGGTTTTCCATTTGTATGCTTCAATTGTTACCCTGTCCCATCCCCTCCCCACCCCTAATTCTATATTTTTCCATGGGGGTACAAGTTCAGTCTATTTTTGTAGGAATTGTTTAAACTTTTTTGTCATTACAATCAAACCTCTGTTTTCGTATGCCCTAGCTTTTTTACAATTCGGTTTTTGACGACTTTGTTTGTCAAAACTTTGTCCAAGTTTTCGTATATCCGCTCAGTTTTTGTACAGTTGAAAATGGTCCATAGCAAACTCTTCTGCCTGCCCACATGACTCTGCCACCCATTTTCTGGAATTGAGCGCCCACACAAAGCATCCAATGCATTCGTGACTCAGCTTTTGTTTCTCGTTGAGTGAGCATCACCCCGTGTGTTCATCCAAAACATTTCGTAATAATCCATTATTTTTTGTGCTTGTTTATTGAGTGCGACTACTAAATAAGCCACCATGGGGCTTTGATAAAGAGGGCGAAAAACATGATAGAATTCAAGAAAGAACTTGTAGCAAAGTACGAAAGTGGCATACACATGGCCAATCTCTTCAGGTTGTATGGAAAGTCCGCATCAACGATCATTGCACTACTCAGGCAGGTATAACATCTTTTACGAGTAAAGAAGAGCAGGATGTGAGTGTGGGGGAGGTGCATGAGGCATTACATAGAGTGAAAGGGGGGTAAAACAGCTGGAACTGACGGGATCATGACAGAAATGTTAAAAGCAGGGGGGATATAGTGTTGGAGTGGTTGGTATTTTTGTTTAATAAATGTATGAAAGAGGGTAAGGTACCTAGGGATTAGCAGAGAGCATGTATAGTCCCTTTATATAAAGGGAAGGGGGACAAAAGAGATTGTAAAAATTATAAGGGAATAAGTTTACTGAGTATACCAGGAAAAGTGTATGGTAGGGTTATTATTGAAAGAATTAGAGGTAAGACAGAGAGTAGGATTGCAGATGAGCAAGGAGGCTTTAGAGTGGGTAGGGGATGTGTAGATCAAGTGTTTACATTGAAGCATGTATGTGAACAGTATTTAGATAAAGGTAGGGAAGTTTTCATTGCATTTATGGATTTAGAAAAGGCATATGATAGAGTGGATAGGGGAGCAATGTGGCAGATGTTGCAAGTATATGGAATAGGTGGTAAGTTACTAAATGCTGTAAAGAGTTTTCATGAGGATAGTGAGGCTCAAGTTAGGGTGTGTAGAAGAGAGGGAGATTACTTCCCGGTAAAAGTAGGTCTTAGACAGGGATGTGTAATGTCACCATGGTTGTTTAATATATTTATAGATGAGATTGTAAAAGAAGTAAATGCTAGGGTGTTTGGGAGAGGGGTGGGATTAAATTATGGGGAATCAAATACAAAATGGGAGTTGACACAGTTACTTTTTGCTGATGATACTGTGCTTATGGGAGATTCTAAAGAAAAGTTGCAAAGGTTAGTGGACGAGTTTGGGAGGGTGTGTAAAGGTAGAAAGTTGAAAGTGAACATAGATAAGAGTAAGGTGATGAGGATATGAAATGATTTAGATAACAAAAAATTGGATACCATATTGGAGAGAAGGAGTATGGAAGAAGTGAATGTTTTCAGATATGTATTTGGGAGTTGACTTTTCAGCAGATGGGTTTATGAAGGATGAGGTTAACCATAGAATTGATGAAGGAAAAAAGGCAAGTGGTGCATTGAGGTGTCTGTGGAAACAAAAAAATGTTATCCATGGAGGCAAAGAAGGGAATGTATGAAAGTATAATGGTACCAACACTTATATGGGTGTGAAGCTTGGGTTGCAGTGCTGCAGCGAGGAGGCAGCTGGAGGCATTGGAGATGTCCTGTCTAAGGGCAATGTGTGGTGTAAATATTATGCAGAGAATTCGGAGTGTGGAAATTAGGAGGAGGTGTGGAATTACTATAAATATTAGTGAGAAGCCTGAAGAGGGGCTGTTGAGGTGGTTTGGTCATCTAGAGAGAATGGATCGAAGTAGAATGACTTGGAGAGCATATAAATCTGTAGGGGAAGGAAGGCAGGGTAGGAATCATCCTCAAAAAGGTTGGAGGGAGGGGGTAAAGGAGGTTTTGTGGGCGAAGGGCTTGGAGTTCCAGCAAGTATGTGTGAGCGTGTTCGATAGGAGTGAATGGAGAAGAATGGTTGTTGGGATGTGACGAGCTGTTGGAGTGTGAGCAGGGTAATATTTAGTGAAGGGATTCAGGGAAACCGGTTATTTTTATATAGCCAGACTTGAGTACTGAAAATGGGAAGTACAATGTCTGCACTTTAAAGGAAGGGTTTGGGATATTAGCAGTTTGGAGGGGTATGTTATATATGCTTCTAAACTGTTGTATCTGGGCACCTTTGCAAAGACAGTGATTATGTATGAGTGAGGTGAAAGTGTTGAATGATGATAAAAGTATTTTCTTTTTGGGAATTTTCTTTCTTTTTGGTCGCCCAGCCTCGGTGGGACACTGCCGACTTGTTGAAAAAAAAAAATTGGGGATTGGACCTGTTCATAGATGGTTTTATGAGAGATGAGATGAACCATAGAATTGATAAAGGGAAAAAGATGGGTAGTGCAGTGAGGCATCTTTGGAGACAGATCTTTATCCATGGAGGCAAAAAAAAAAATATGTACCACAGTTGTGAAGTATGGGTTTTAAACGTTGCAGCAAGGAGGAGGCTGGGGGAAATGGAAATGCTATGTTTGAGGGCAATGTGGAGTGTGAATATTATGAAGAGACTTATGAATTTAGAGATTTGTAGGTGTGGTCTTACCAGAAGTATTCTGAGGACTTGGGGGGGGGGGGTTGAGGCGTTTTGGACATTAGAGAGGGTGGAGAAAATTGGGATGACTACAAGGGTGTATAAATCTGGGGTGGAGGGAGGAAGGGTAGTAGTTATCCTAGGAAAAGTTGGAATGGCTGTGTAAAGTAGGTTCTTAAGTACTACAGGCTTGGATATCCAACAGCTTTGTGTGAATGTGCTAGATAGTGAGTGAAGGAAAGTGATTTTTATGATTTGACGTTCTGTTGGAGTGTGAGCTAGGAAACATTTGTGAAAGGATTCAGGAAATCAGTTAGCTGGACTTGAGCCCTGGAGGTGGTAAGTACAGTGTCTGCACTCTGAAGGATGGGTGGTGATGTTGCAGTTTAGTGGATCATCTGAACTGTGATGTCACTTTGCTTCTGGCAAGACAGTGATTGAAGAAATGACTGTGAAAGTGTTTTCCTTTGTCTAGTCACCCTGTCTTGGTGGGAGACAGCCTGTGTATTAAAAAAATGAAAATGTGCCTTTGTACTGTTCTAGCATTGTTAAAAAAAACTATTGGTGGATTCTGTGTAATAACTAGTGAATGGCTCTTCCATTTGGCCTGAAATGTTTAGCACTGGTGTGTGAGTGTGTGTGTGTGTTAAAGGAATTGTTTTAAATTGAAGTGGGCTTTATAGGCTCCAGTTTACAAATTTATTCCTACTCGGTTTTATTATCCGAGCACTAACAAATGATTCTTTCACAGTCCTCATGCGTCTCTAAAGATCTCTTGTGGCAAATAGTAGATCAAATAAATGAACGAGCTCCCATTTTTGTTTTCTCCTCACTACACACATTCAGTACTTTGTGTCATATTTAGTAGTACGTACAATACACCCTCTCCTCACTTAATGACGGGGTTCCGTTCCTAAGAGTAGGTCAGTAAGCGAATTGGTTGTTAAGCGAGGAGCATACTGTACTAGTAGTGGGTTTGTGTCAACCGTATTTTTAGTGTCACTTTTGTACCATTTATAACATTTTTAGTATATTTTTAAGTGTTTATACAGTAGTGTACTGTATACTGTAATAAACAGAATAGAGGAAATCAGCTCTAATATACATTACTTAGGTTTGCATACTAGTTGGAGAGCTGGTTGTAAGTCCGAGCAGTCAGTAAACGAGTACGTCAATAAGTGAGGAGAGTCCGTATTGACCTCTGACATTTTTTTTTGTCAAGTTATAATCTGCATTATTCATTGTACTGGCTCTTATTTTCTTCTTGCTGTTTACTTGTAAGGATGGTTGATTCTCTCAGACCAACATTGTACATATCTCAAATTTCCACTTCCTTGAATACCATGAATGTTTCATGCATAAGTCTTCACAGAACCTCCAGCATCACGAGTATTGTTCTTGGGTGCCATGGCTAATATCCAGAGATGAGATGAGGCAATAAAATGATACTGTTAAATAGAGTGAGTGAGTAAGGTAATTCAACTCGCTCAGTAAGTGGCATGGGTGGTAGTGCGAAAGAGAAGCTTGTGCCTCTCCAAACATTCAATCCTTAGGTCCAGTTTTAGTCAGCAGGAAAAAATTTCTTGGATTATAGTACCCCATAACTTGATACTATTATGTGTATGGTGCATGCTATCAAGACTTCATATTTCATTCAAATTTAAATGCATATTTTTAATAAAGTTTACACTAAATTACACTATGTAGTGTCACTCTGTGAAAGGATTTACTGTACAGTAATTTTAATGCTTGCTTCCCTCTTCTTCATTCCCTTTCCTCTTCTACATTACATGTACAGATATTATGACCTCCTCAGACACACATTTAATATTAATTAATTTTCTTTTTATTCCAGCAAGTGTTTACTGATGTCATTCTATCATGTGGAGATCAATTTTACCCAGCCCATCAATTGGTCTTGTCATCTTGCAGCACTTTTTTTTCCCATGCTTTAGAAGTAGTCAAATGCCCATCTCCAGTTCTACTTTTACATGGCATTGAACAGTCTACTTTAGAGGAGTTGTTGATGTTTATGTATGATGGACAGGTAAGTGATTATTTTGACTAGATGCTTTTATTCATTAGCATTACATATGTGGGATGCATAAGTCACCTTGATTTTTTTTGGAGGGTTTATCCTAGGTAATTTACACATATGTTACAAGGTATGATAATTGTACTTGTGTACTTGTACCTAAATAAACTTGCTTCCTTAACCCTTTATTGTCGGTCCTGTAATATTACAGCTTTGAAGCCAGAGTCGGTCCCGTATTTATACGCCAAAATTCTAGTGCATTCAAATCTGGGGAAAGAAAGCTGGTAGGCATACATATGAAAGAAAGGGTCTGTGTGGTCAGTGTGCGCAGTACAAAAAAATCCTTCAGCACACAGTGCATAATGAGAAAAAAACTCCGACCGTGTTTTTGGTTTAAAACAGTGACTTTGCAGTGTATTTTCGTGTGGTATTTATGGTTGTATTCTCACTTTCGTGGTCTCATTTGATAGAATGGAAGATATATTACAGAAATAGAGATTATTTTGATTGGTTTCATGATGAAAAGTACCTTGAAATTGAGCTCAAAGTAGTGGAAATATTCAACTTTTGTTGATGTTCAAGAGTAAACAAATGACGCCATGCGTCCAATACACGTCAACTGGTGCATCTAATATTCTTTCACTAGTGCACTGATATTATTTATACAATTTTTATAATAATCCAGTAGTCTACATAACAGTAAATCTTCTATTTTTTGTGAGATTAAAAATTCAAAATGGAAAGCAAGAGTAATATAAGAGGGGCCTGGAGACATGACTGATGAACAGAGAGAATTTTATTTTAGTGCCAGGAATATCTGTCTTGTTTATTTCTCGACCCTATTTTGAAATTGGCATTTTTTGAAATTTGGTTGAAATTGGCCAAATTGCCAATTTTTGACCACTTTATTGGGTAGTTGAAATCAGTAAATGGACAGTTGCTTGTACTCAGTTGATAGAACAAATGGAGTTCTAGTGAAATAGCTATGATTTTAGTCGACTGGAACATTGGAATTGGCTAAAAATAGGGCTCAAAGTGGGTGAAATTGCCGATGCGTAAATGTTGCTATCACTGACTTCACGAGTGTAATTTCGTAAGTTTTCCATCAAATTTCGTACTTTTGGTATAATATTCTCTGGTGTGCAATTGCAAGAAGACTGGGTGTTATGAATAAATAGAAAGGTAAAGTAAACAGCAGCTCATGATCATGACCATGGGTTGCATGGTAACACAGGTATTTATTTATTTATTTATTTATTTAGTAATTTTAGCATACATACAGAGGTACAAAAAAATACAGGTAAGAGCAGCATGCCAAAGCCACTTATATGCATAGCATTACGGGCTGGCTGAAAATTAACTTAAGATTAACTAAGCAATGATGAAATCAGTGATAAAACATTATTGTAAACAGATAACTATAAAGCACAAATGAGTATTACAAAGACAGGTCATATGGTTGCATGCATTGCTGTACATTCAGTCGAATGGAGTATTCTGTTAGGTAGTGCATTTAAAAAAATAATAAAGTTAGATTGGGTCCTAGGTTTAACATTTGTGTGATATAATTGTGAGTAACATTTAGGATATACAATTTATAAGGTTCAGTTATTCAGTATTTATTTGGTTTTGAGTGATTAAGTGATCTTTGAGAAGAGACTTGAATTTATAAACAGGTAGTGTTTCTTTTATATTTACAGGTAATGAATTCCAGATTTTAGGGCCTTTTATGTGCATTGAGTTTTTGCATAGCGTGAGATGGACACGAGGAACATCAAAGAGTGATCTGTGCCTTGTATTATGGTCATGTGTTCTGTTGAGGTTGGCAAGGAGATGTTTGAGGGGAGGGTTAATATCAGAGTTAAGTGTTCTATGTATGTAATAGGTGCAATAATAAGTATGGATGTTTTGTATGGTGAGTAGGTTGAGTGTTTTGAATATTGGTGGAGTGTGCTGCCTGTAGTGAGAATTTGTTATCATTCTAACTGCAGCCTTTTGTTGGGTAATTAGTGGTCTGAGATCGTTAATTGTTGTTGAGCCCCATGCACAAATTCCATAGGTGAGATAGGGGTAAATAAGAGAGTGATAAAGGGCCAGGAGGGCTGACTGTGGAACATAGTACCGTATCTTCGATAGTATGCCTACAGTCTTGGAAATTTTCTTAGAAATTTGTTTTATATGTGTATGAAATTTGAGTCTATTATCAAGGTGGATTCCTAAGAATTTTCCCTCTGTTAGCTTTGTGATAGGTGATCTGTTTATCATTATGTTAAGAGGTACATCTGTAGCTCTGTTACCAAACTGAATGAAGTAGGTTTTGTCAATGTTTAGTGTAAGTTTGTTAGTCCTCATCCAGGTAGATATTTTCTGTAATTCGGTGTTAACAGTGTTGGCTAGCGTGACTGGGCTCGGGTGAGAGAAGACGTATGTAGTGTCATCTGCAAAAAGTGTGGGTTTGAGTAACTGCGAAGCATTTGGTAGGTCATTTATGTATAGGAGAAAGAGAAGAGGGCCAAGGACACTTCCCTGTGGGACACCAACTGTAATTGGTTGAGCGGAAGAGCTTGCCCCATTTGCGTACACATATTGGCTTCTGTTGCTGAGGTATGACTTGAGGTAGTTGAGGGAGTGCCCTCTAATACCATAGTGTGACAATTTTACGTGGAGCAAGTCATGGTATGGATAGCAATATGAAGCAGCCCATGCTTGTCATTATTAAAACCTGATGCAGAACCAGCCCCTGTGCTTAACATTAACCCTTTCAGGGTTTTGGACGTACTAGTATGGCTTACGCACCAGGGATTTTGACGTACTAGTATGCCTAAATTCTAGCGCCCTCAAATCTAGTGAGAGAAAGCTGGTAGGCCTACATAGGAAAGAATGGGTCTAGGTGGTCAATGTGTGCAGTATAAAAAAATCCTGCAGCACAGTGCATAATGAGAAAAAAAAAATTGACCGTGTTTTTGGATTAAAACAGCGACTGCACTGTATTTTCATATGGTATTTATTGTTGTATTCTAGTTTTTTTGGTCTCATTTTTTAGAATGGAAGACATATTACAGAAATTGAGATGATTTTGACTAGTTTTACAATGAAAAGTACCTTGATATTAAGCTCAAAGTAGCAGAAATGTTCAATTTTTACCAAAGTTCAAAAGTAAACAAATCATGCTAAGCGTCCAATACACGTCAACTGGTGAGTCTAATATTCTTTCACAAGTGCGCCAATAGTATTTATACCATTTCTACACTAATGCAGTACTGTGCATAACAGTAAATCTTCTATTTTTTGTGAAAATAAAAATTCAAAGTGGAAAGCAAAAGAATGTAAGAGGGGCATGGGGACGTGACTAATGAACAGAGAAAATGTTATTTTAGTGCCAGGAATGTCTTTCTTGTTTATTCTGGACCCTATTTGGAAATTGGCATCTTTTGAAATTTGTGTGAAATTGGCAAAATTGCTAAATTCTGACCACTGTATTGGATAGTTGAAATTGGTAAATGGGTGGTTTTTTGTACTCATTTGATAGAAAAAATGGAGTTCTAGCAAAATCGTTACGATTTTTGTCGACTAGTACACTGGAATTGGCCGAAAATAGGGCTCAAAGTGGGCAAAATCGCCAATGCGTAAGCATTGTCGAGACCGCGAACTTTGCGAGAGCATAATTTCGTAAGTTTTCCATCAAATTTCGTACTTTTGGTGTCATTATGATTGGAAAAAGATTCTCTCTTTTCATAAGAAAAAAAATAATTTTTTTTTTTTTTTTTTTTTTTTTTTTTTTTAAATTTGGGGGACCCTGAGAACAAGTCTGGGAGAGGGCCTGGGGACCCAGAAAGGGTTAATGATTAAAACAGTGACCTTTATGAGTACAGGTACTAGTCCTGTCTCCTAAGATCTTTCATCAACCCAGTTGCTAAATGTTCCTCATTTGAACATGATGCAACTGCATAATAATGAGTGTAGAAACAAAGATCAGGCACCCTAGGTACAGTACATGACTTGTAAAATCACACTAACTCAGTTGTAAATGACTGTCTGAAGGGGTAAGGTTCAAACCCATGGCAATCCAGTCACTGCACTAGCATACCAATTTGCTGTCCACTGTACCATATAGTCCTAATAAGATTAGGCCTACATAGTAAAGTGGATAGCAAATTGGTATGCTAGTGTAGTGACAGGATTGCCATGGGTTTGAACCTCACCCCTTCTGACAGTCGTTTACAACTGGGTTAGTGTGATTTCACAAGTCATGTACTGTACCTAGAGTGCCTGATCTTTGTTTCTACACTTACTATTATGCAGTTGCATCATTATTAGGTGTATTATTATACACCTGAGACCACAGTGCAAGGTTTTACAGATTAATCTTGCACCAACATGGCTGGTGCAAGATTTGCTCAAATCGCTTCAAAACTGTTATAAATGACTGGCCTGTTCACTCTCCTATGTTCAGTACCCCCTTGACATGGACTCAGATCCTCCATTTAGTAAGTTGTTTACATTGTGTTGCTATGATTTCCCGTGTCTTTCATAATAAATAGCTTTGAAGAGATTTTAGCTAGAATACATAACACCATGCTGGTGAGATTCATCTGTAAAAACTTGCTTATTGGTGCCCATGCTAACTTTCCTTTGGTGTACAGAAATACATGTAGTTGGGCGAATCTCATTAGGACAGCAGTACAGCGGATAGTGCACTGGCCTTCTTGATTTAGGACAGGTTTGCCATGGGGTTTGAACCCTCTATACACAAATAACTCGCACATAGAAGAGAGGAGCTTACGACGACGTTTCGGTCCAACTTGGACCATTTACAAAGTCACACTAACAAAAAGGAGAACAGGATGGGTATATATAGGCAGGAGGTGGTAGTAGTAGTAGTAGTGGTAGTAGTGGAGGGAAGGAAGTAGTAGTGGGGAGGTAGTAAGAGTAGGAGGGGCCAGTCAAATACTAAGAAAGAGGAGCACTGCAAGGGAGCTAGGTGCCCACAGAAGGTAAGAGCAAGAACACTGAGGGGGGGGGGAAACAAACAAATAAATAAATAAATAAGGAACAACTACACAGGGCAGAAGAAAGACAACCCAAATGAGAAAAAGGAAAGAGGAAAGGGGAAGAGGGAGAAGAAGAAAAGGGAGGAATCAGGTTAGGTCACGAGTGTTCTGAAGTTTGGAGCATTTTACAATGTAGTGGGAGAGAAAGGCATCTACAGAGACGGAGCCAGGACTAAGATTCATACGAGGAAAGTTGTGTATTAGGGAGGATTCAACCAGACAGTGACTGCTAAAGTTGGAAGTAGGGAAGACAGTTTTAGCAGAAGACCAGTCAATAGGATGGCTGTGATCTCTGATGTGACAGAAAAGAGTATTGTTAGTGTTGGCAAGCCTAACACTATTTTTGTGCTCCCTAAGTCTGTCAGAAAGAGATCGACCAGTTTCTCCAAAGTATTGAAGAGGACAGGAGGAACAAGAAATAGAGTAGACACCAGGAGCATCTGTAGAGGGAGGAGAAGTATGAACGAGATAAATGCAAAGAGTGTTAGTCTGGTGGAAAGTAAGTTTGATGTCTAAGGAACGGAGAGAGTTGTCGAGATTAGAAAGCCCAGAAATGTAGGGAAGGCAGAGGACAGAAGAGTTCCCAGGAATAGAGAGTTTGGGAGAGAAGAAACTACGTTTAGCACGTGAGAAGGCAGAGTCAATGAAATGGGAAGGGTAACCAAGACAGGAAAATGAATTATGAAGAGTGGAAATTTCAGACTGAAGGAACTGAGGATCACATATGCGGAGAGCACGGAGAAAGAGGGAGATAAGAACACTTTTCTTGACAGAGGAAGCATGATAAGAAAAGTAGTGAATGTACATGCCACTGTGCATAGGCTTGCGGTAAACAGAAAAGGCAAAACCTGTATCTGAGCGGTGGACATGAACATCAAGAAAAGGAAGCAAGGAGTTAGATTCACATTCAGCTTTAAACTTAATGGAAGAGGCAAGATTATTAAGAGCATCAAGAAATGGTTGGAAGAGACAAGAGTCATGAGGCCACAGAGCAAAGATGTCATCAACATAGTGGAGACAGAGTGAAGGGCGCACATCAATAGTAGGAAGAACAGTATCGAAGTATTCCATGTAAAGATTAGCAAGGACAGGAGAGAGAGGAGAGCCCATAGCGACACCGAAGGTTTGAGAATAATATTTCCCTTGGAAGGAAAAGGAATTAGAGTCCACACAGAGGTGGATAAGATCAAGAAAGACATGAGTAGGTATAGGGAGATGAAGAAACCCTTCATTGGACTTCTCTCTAAGAAAATCAAGGATATCATCAAGAGGAACATTGGTGAAGAGGGACTCAACGTCAAGACTAAGCATCTTACAGGTCAGGAGAGAGCGAACCTGTTCATTGAAGTCCTGAGAGTGATGAAGGTGGGCAGGAGAAAAAAACTACTCCTGGGAACTCTTCTGTCCTCTGCCTTCCCTACATTTCCGGTCTTTCTAATCTCGACAACTCTCTCCGTTCCTTAGACATCAAACTTACTTTCCGCCAGACTAACATTCTTCGCACTATTCTCGTTCATACCTCTCCTCCCTCTACAGATGCTCCTGGTGTCTACTCTATTTCTTGTTCCTCCTGTCCTCTTCAATACTTTGGAGAAACTGGTCGATCTCTTTCTGACAGACTTAGGGAGTACAAAAATAGTGTTAGGCTTGCTGACACTAACAGTGCTCTTTTCTGTCACATCAGAGATCACAGCCATCCTATTGACTGGTCTTCTGCTAAAACTGTCTTCCCTGCTTCCAACTTTAACAGTCACTGTCTGGTTGAATCCTCCCTAATACACAACTTTCCTTGTATGAATCTTAGTCCTGGCTTCGTCTCTGCAGATGCCTTTCTCTCCCACTACATTGTAAAATGCTCCAAACTTCAGAACTCTCATGACCTAACCTGATTCCTCTCTTTTCTTCTCCCTCTTTCCCTTTCCTCTTTCCTTTTTCTCATTTGGGTTGTCTTTCTTCTGCCCTGTGTCATTGTTCCTTCTTTATTTATTTGTTTCCCCCCCCCCTCGGTGTTCCTGCTCTTACCCTCTGTGCTCACCTAGCTCCCTTGCAGTGCTCCTCTTTCTTAGTATTTGACTGGCCCCTTCCTACTCTTACTACCTCCCCACTACTACCTTCCCTCCACTACTACTACTACTACTACCACCTCCTGCCTATATATACCCAACCTGCTCTCCTTTTTGTTAGTGTGACTTTGTAAATGGTCCAAGTTGGACCGAAATGTCGTCGTAAGCTCCTCTCTTCTATGTGCGGGTTATTTGTGTATTTTTCCAGTCACGGTATTGTGCCTTTTTTTTTTGTTATTTTTGAACCCTCTGTTTGGTGAGACCCCAGGTACATAGAATCTCCAAGAGACATTTTAGAATAGTCATACATTAGTGTTTGGTCTTGGAAATTTTCTCACACATTTTAATGGTCAATTAGGCCAGATGGATTATAAGTTTGAAAGACCTCCAATCTCCAAGCAGTTCAGACTTTCATTACTCAACTGTAGTTCAGATTTGGTCTAGCATGGAAGCAGATATTTTACTATTTTTTTTTTTTTTTTTATGGGTTTTATAAATTAGGGTAACAAGTTCCCATATACACTATTGACGAAGCTTGAGATTTTAGTTTCATTGTAAGTACAGTATTACAGAATTGCATTACAGAAAGCTTCAATTATTGGTGCAGCTCCCATTAAGCAACAAACCTCCTAGATTATTGTTCAGAAACTATAGAATACCTGGTTCAATATATCCTGAATGGTAACTTATTTTTGCTTTTATTTTTTTTCAGGTCACCATTTCTAGAAGCAGCCTACCAGATCTCTTGAAAGCTGGTCAGTGGTTGGGTGTGAAGGGTTTAGAATCTACTTTTGATAGCACTGACAGCAACATCTGTGAAAATGTAACTAAATCTACTTACCTGAATGCGCAGGCCAATTCATCTCAGTTTTTTCAAACATGCAAGCAGTTTCTTTCGTTTGTATCCACAAATGGAAAAAGCTCCGGGATTTCAGATGCTGCGTTAAGTTCGCTGCAGCAGATAATGAACAATATTATTCACCTCGGGAATGATGTTGAAAGTATAAAAGTCTCTAAAGCTTCATCTGTAAATTATAACTTAAATTATGGAGAAAACTCCACTAAATTGCAACCTGATGCCATTGAGGAAGAGAGAGAGAGTCAAAATTTGTCTTTAGAGAACAGATCATTAACTTCACACAGTGCTTCTCTGCCTACTCTGCCAGTGCATTTTCTTGATGTACTATGTAATACCAGAGAGGAAAACGAAAGTGAAAATTCGTTTGAAGGTTGGGGCAGTGCAAAGGACTCTGAGGAAACTGAGAATTTACCTATGATGGAGGAAGAGAGAACTGTGGAACTGAAAGTGCTGCCACAGTATACATCATGTGAAGAGTCGAGCAGTTATGTAGAGAAGGTAGGTTTACAGATGGTAACACCTGTAGCAGTGTTTTGTCTTTCATTATGCAGGGGTGATAATAAAAATTCTGATGGAAGGAAATTTAGTGGAAAAACTGTTACTGTTTTAATGTCTTTTTTAATTGAATTGACAATAATATAACGGTATTTACATAAGGGGTACAGAGATTTTTGTGGTATTTATGGATTTGCAAAGGTGTATGACAAAGTGGATAGGGGGTCAGTGTGGCAGATATTGCAAATGTGTGAAATAGGAGGTAGGTTATTGAAAGCAGTGGAGAGTTTTTTACAAGGATAGTGAGGCTCGGGTTAGACTATGTAGGAGAGAGGAGATTATTTTATAGTAAAAGTAGGCCTTAGACAAGGATGTGTGATGTCACCATGGTTATTCAATATATTTATAGATGGGGTTGTAAGAGAAGTGAATGCTCAGGTGTTAAAAGAATCTAACACAAAGTGGGAGTTGTCACAGTTGCTCTTTGCACTGAGGAGTCTGTGGAGACAAAGAACTTTGTCCATGGAAGCAAAGAGGGGAATGTATGAGAGTATAGTTATACCAATGCTCTTATATGGGTGTGAAGTATGGGTAGTGAGTGTTGCCACAAGGAGAAGGCTGGAGGCAGTGGAGATGCTGTGTCTGAGGGCATTGTGTGGTGTGAATATAATGCAGAGAATTCATAGTTTGGAAATTAGGAGGTGCTGGATTACCAAAACTATTATGCAGAGGGCTGAGGAGGGGTTTATGAGGTGGTTAGGGCATGTAGAGAGGGTGGAACAAAATAGAATGAGAGTGCATAAATCTGTAGTGGAGGGAAGGCAGGGTTGGGGTTGGCCTAGGAAAAGTTGGAGGGAGGGGGTAAAGGAGGTTTTGTGTGCAAGGGGCTTGGACTTCCAGCAAGCATGCATGAGCATGTTAGATAGGAGCGAATGGAGACAAATGGTTTTTAGTACTTGACGTGCTGTTTGGAGTGAGCAAGGTAACATTTATGAAGGAATTCAGGGAAACCGGCAGGCTGGACTTGAGTCCTGGAGATGGGAAGTACAATTCCTACACTCTAAAGGAGGGGTGTTAACCCCTTGACTGTCGCAACCCCAAATCCTGAGGCGTCTCCTGGTGTCGCAGAATTTCCAAAAAACAAAAAACAAAAAAAATTTATTATGAAATGATAGAGAATCTTTTCCCGATTGTAATGACACCAAAAGAACGAAATTTGATGGAAAACTGAGAGAATTACGCTCTCGAGAAGTTAGCGACCTCGGAGATAATTTACAAATCAGCGATTTCACATACGTTGCGCCCTATTTTTGGCTAATTCCATTGTTCCAGTTGACCAAACTCATAGCTATTTCTTTAGAACTCCATTTTTTCTATCGATTGAGTACAAGAAACTGCTCGTTTACCAATTTCAACTACCCGATAACTTGATCAGAAATTTGCAATTTGGCCAATTTCACAAAAATTAAAAAGTATGACAATTTCAAAATAGGGTCCAGAATGAGCAATGCAGACATTCCTGGCTCTAAAATAACATTTTCTTTGTTCATCAGTCACGTCTCTAGGCCCCTATGATATTACTCTTGCTTTCTATTTTGATTTTTTATTCAAACAAAAAACAGAAGATTTACTGTTATGCAGACTACTGCAATATTGTAATAATTGTACAGTGGACCCCCGGTTAACGATTTTAATCCGTGCAAGAGGGGTAATTGTTATGCGAAATAATCGCTATGTGAATGAATTTTCCCCATAAGAAATAATGGAAATCAAATTAATCCGTGCAAGACACCCAAAAGTATGAAAAAAAAAATTTTACCACATGAAATATACATTTTCCCACACACAAAGAGAAGGATACATGCACAATAGTAGAGTAGTACATGCACAGTATATATTGTGCATGTACTAGTCTTCTAAATGAAGAATAAATGACACTTACCTTTATTGAAGATGCAGCAATGACTGATGAGACACTGTGTCCTGGGAGTGCCTTTTCCTCCTGAGTACTGTAGGTCCTGTTTGGCATTTTCTTCCAGAACAGGCCTTATCACACTGTGTATGCCACTACGATTCTTAAATCTCTCAAACCAACCTTTGCTGGCTTTAAATTCACCAATATGAGCACTAGTTCCAGGCATTTTTCCCTGTTCACCTGGGTGTTAGTCGACTTGTGTGGGTTGCATCCTGGGAGACAAGATTAAGGACCCCAATGGAAATAAGTTAGACAGTCTTCGATGACACTGACTTTTTTGGGTTATCCTGGGTGGCAAATCCTCTGGGGTTAATTGTTTCTTGGTATTCTCAATAAGCCACACCAACAACGGTGCTACAGCAGCAGCAGCAGCTGACAGTGCAGCGCACAGCAGCAGCTGACATGCAGCGCAGCAGCAGCTGACAGTGCAGCAGCAGCAGCAGCTGACAGTGCAGCAGCAGCAGCAGCTGTACCACCAATAGTAGCGATGGTTGATTGGGGTTTATTATACAACCTGGCCAGCTCGGAGACATGCACTCTACTTTCATACTTATCAATGATCTTTTTCTTCATCTCTATTGTAATTCTCACCCTTATTGCTGTAGGGTTGGCACTAGAAGCTTTCTTGGGGCCCATGGTCACTTATTTTCCAGAAAAAGCACCGAAAACACTGTAATAATACGAAATATTCCGATTGTATGCTTGGATGTTACCGCGGAGGCTGGCTGGTAAACAATGCCACCGGCGGAACATGTGAGCGCGTCTCGGACGAAAATCGGTAAGCGGGTTTTTAAGCGGTATGTGAGGCAAAATTTTTGCAATTAAAGTAAGCGGTATGCGAAATAATCGCTATGTGATGCCATCGTTATGCGGGGGTCCACTGTATAAGTAATGTCAGCTCATTCATGACTGCATATTAGAATGGCTACTTGGACATTTATTGGAAAATGACATCATTTGTTTACTTTTGAGCATCTGCAAAAATCAAACATTTTCCCTACTTTGAGCTCCATTTCAAGGTTCTTTTCATAGTAACACCAATCAAAATCACCTCTATTTCTATAACATGTTTCCCATTCCATCAAACAAGACCAAGAAAACGAGAATACAACCATATATACTATACAAAAATAGACCACAAAGTCGACATTTTAATTAAAAAAAAACAGTCGGAGTTTTTTTTTTCTCATTATGCACTGTGTGCTGCAGGATTCTTTTATATGCTGTACACTGACCACACACATCCATTCTCTCACATGTGGACCTACCAGCTTACTCCTGCTTGATTCGAAGCCGCTAGAATTTTTGAGTATATATACGTCAAAAACGGTGGCTCGTAAGACGTATATATACAACCAAAACAGCCAAAGAGTTAATGTTGCAGTTTTATAACTGTAGTGTAAGCGTGCCTCTGGCAAGGCAGTGATGGAGTGAATGATGATAGTTTCTCTTTTTCGGGCCACTCTGTTTTGGTGGGAGACGGCCGATGTGTTAATATAATAAAATAACTCCAGCTTCTCATTTTCAGGAAAATGTTGTCTCTGATGATCAAGCTAAAAGCAAAAGATGTCTTCGCTGTAAACAATGCAGAAAAACATTTAGTGTACGGCAGGATCTGGCAAAACATTCACGCCTACATCACATCCCTCAAAATATTTGCATTACCTGCAATGAAGCATTTACCAATGAAAAGGATTTTAAATTGCATATGAAAATGCATTCTTCAAACTCTTGGCATGGTTGTAGTAAGTGTGACTTTGTAAGTCATAATAAGAAAGGCTTGCTGAAGCATCATCTTTCCCATGAAAATAATAGTACACAGGAAGAACTTTTTTCACAATCATCTTGCATAAAACCAGAAATAATTACAGAAAAATCACCACAAAAAGACTATTCAGGAGAATTGATAGTCAGATGTTCCACTTGTCATGCAACATTTGAGAATTATGACATGCTTAAAAAACACAAACTTTTGGGCTGTAGAAAAACAGGAAAACATGGTAATAGTTGTCCAATTTGCATGTCTAGTTTCACCAGAAAACGCAGTCTAGATGATCACATGAGTAAACATACTGGGAATTACCGGTTTTGCTGCCGGTACTGCCCCTACAAGTGTTCAAGAAATTATTTACTGGAAGAGCATATAAAGAAAAAGCATGAAAATACCTTAGAAAAAACATTGTAGTTATTAAAATCATAATTTTAAATTTGGCCATGGTTTTAACTCTTTCACTGTCTTCACCCTGAAATTCTCATTATGTGTTGCACTTTTAAAAAAAAAATTATCTTCTAAATAGTAGAGAATATTATTATGTAGTTAATGACACCAAAAATGCAAAATTTGATGGAAAACTTGTAGAATTATGCTTTTGCAAAGTTGGCAGTTTGACTCAATTTATGCATCAGTGATTTCACTCACTTGAGACCTACAGTAGTCCTCCCATATCCATGGATGATACATTCCAAGACCTACCGTGGATGCTGAATCCGTGGATAGTAGCAAACCCTACATACAAGTCATTTTTCGTTTACATACGTACCTATGATAGTTTAATTGATAAATTAAGCACAATAAGACATTACCAACATAACAATACATAAAATACATTCCTTCACCACCACCACCAGCTGCTGCTGCTGCTGCTGCTGTTACAGTGGCTGACTGCTTGACTGACTTACTGGCAGAATGACTGACTTTTGGCATTGCTAGTATGTCCCCATTTTCTGCCAAATCCAATTTGTAGTAGTGAATGGAGACGAATGGTATTTGGGACCTGACGAGCTGTTGGAGTGTGAGCAGGGTAATATTTAGTGAAGGGATTAAGGGAAACCGGTTAATTTTATATAGCCGGACTTGAGTCCTGGAAATGGGAAGTAAAATGCCTGTACTTTAAAAGAGGGGTTTGGGATATTGGCAGTTTGGAGGGATATGTTGTGTATCTTTATACTTATATGCTTCTAAACTGTTGTATTCTGAGCATCTCTGCAAAAACAGTGATTATGTGTGAGTGAGGTGAAAGCGTTGAATGATGATGAAAGTATTTTCTTTTCGGGGATTTTCTTTCCTTTTGGGCCACCCTGCCTCGGTGGGAGACGGCTGACTTGTTAAAAAAAAAAAAAAAAATTATTCATTTGTTTGTTGACCAATCTTACTAAAATTTTATATGACCATGTTTATGCACTCTTATTCAAATGGTAAAGAATGAATGAAATTGGATAAAAAATGAAGCCTCAAATTGCAACCTCCTGCCTAGTATGGGCCAACAGGCCTGCTGCAGTGTTCCTCCTTTCTTATGTTCTTATGTTTCTCGGAAACTGAATCCATGGATAAGAGGTTCTACTGCATTTTAGGTCAATTAAGTTGTTCAATTCAACCCAATTCCTGGCTATTTCAGTAGTGTATGCCTTCTCTTCTATTGACTGAGTGCAAGAAACTGCCTGTTCAACAACTGAACTATCCCCATAAAGTGCACAAAAGTTGGTAATTTAGCATATTTTACATAAAATCAACAAATTCTAATTTAAAAACAGTGAAATAAACACTGTGGGCATTCCAGCCACTAAATCAACCTTTTTTATCGCTTCACTAATTGCCTCCATAGTTCTCTCCGTCCATTTTGGATCCATCACACAAAGTAGTTTTACTCTATTTCTCAGCTAAGAAAGTATTTCTAAGAATGTTTAATCTTGGTATAGGTCTTCCAAATATTTGAAGCAAATCAAGTAAAAACCCATAAAACAAACTTGGGGAGGACTAGTGGGGCCTCTACCCTTCCTCTGAAAAAGCACAAAAACTGAATATTTTTGCGATTTTGAGGCCTATTTCAAACCTGTTCCAAACCCCTTCCAGTACATATATACTTTTCACTGGTATGTCTCCCATTCCATTAATTGATACCAAGAAACAGCCAATAAAACTCACTCTAGAACATGCCTCAAAGTTGCTTTATTAAACCAAATACTACAAGGTAACAGGTTAGCTGTTCCCATAAGACACTGTGAGGCAGGATTATTATTTTTATACCATGTATACCCACCAAACATTCATTCTCTCATGTCTAGGCCAAAATGTACTGCTCATAGCATATTTGAGGATATTATGATTAAGACTTAGACCTACGTAAGACCTATATAAGTGCCACTGGCCTCAGTAATGTAGATCTACATGAAAGACAGTGAAAGAGTTATAACTCCAAAGTGAAATGATAGCATAAAAATTCAAGGGTTATTAATTCTATACAAATAGAACACAGATACTTCGTTGTTACCCAGGACCTCAGATAATCAGATTACTAATATACATTTGGCTGCAGTGAGGAGAGATTGTAGCGTAACTTTATCAATACATTTAAACAGCTTGGCAAAACATATATAGCAGGATGTTTTCAGCTATATGAAAAAGTATGCCTAGCTTTATACATACCACATTTTATATATACAGTGGTACCCCAAGTTTTGGCCTTACGTAATTCGTTCCAGAAGGCTGTTCAAGTGCCGTTACCGAATTAATTTTTCCTATAACGAATAATGTAAATTAGATTAGTCCATTTCAGACCCTCAAAAATGCACTTACAAAAACACTTAAAATAATACACTGAGGCAATTGTTCGAGTTGGGAGCTGTATGAAACTCAGGGTACCACTGTACTAGTAATTATTTTGCATTTAGTTTATTGGATTAACATTTTTTTAGTCTTAATATTTATGTACAGTATTATTCTTAGGCTTTGTGCTTGGTATTTTACAATGGTGGAAGGTATATTGTTGAAAAAAGACCAAGTAAATTGTTTTAGTTTTTTACCCTTTTCAATGTGTATGCATTAGATAAGTTTTTCAAGGGAGATTTATGATGTATGACAGTGTAATTAATGATTTCCTTGTGCATTTAAAATTCTTTTTATACCATACAGAAGATTCCCCATTACTAGTTGGTTTTCCTTTGAAAGAGAAGATTGAGGATCAAGCATTCAAAAATCCTTGCGCTGAATGACCCTTGTGTCTCAAGTGTGTGATGAAATGCAAAATCCCGTTTAATGTGCCTGAACATAAACCCTTGACTTACGGTTGAGATGTAAAAAAAAAAAAATAATAAATAACTGGAAACTGATTGTACTACATTGCAAAATGTGCAACAATTCACTAGATGTTTTGTTATCTAGCGCACTACTTGACATCCAGATTGCACTTGTTAAAGACATGGTTGACCCTCAGGCTTATCAGGAGTATATTAACAGTCTCAGAGTGATAGGTAAGTTAAATGATCTTGATAAGAAAGTGGTGGAGGCAGGCTCTATACATAGCTTTAAGAGCAGGTGTGTTAGGGCCCCATGAGGCTAATGGGGGAGTGAATCTAGCAAGTGGCAAGTTGAGAGGGAAGGCCAGGATTTGAGAATTGACACCTGCAACCACAAATAGCATGCATGCATGCATGTGTACACATGCATGAATGTGCACTTATGCATGCTTCCAAGTGTGCACATGCACATTTGGACACATGATCTGGCATGTGTGCACACACAATTTTGTAAATTTTGAGTCAGACTTTAGAAAATTCCCAGAACACTTTTTTTTTCTTTCAATAAACCGGCCGTATCCCACTGAGGCAGGGTGACCTAAAAAGAAAAACAAAAGTTTCTTTAAAAATTTAGCGATGTTTACAGGAGAAGGGGTTACCAGCCCCTTGCTTCCAACATTTTAGTCGCCTCTTATGACACGCATGGCTTACGGAGGAAAAATTCTGTTCCATTTCCCCATGGAGAGAAGAGGATATAAAGAACAAGAACTATTAAGAATATAGAAGAAAACCCAGATGGGTATGCATACATATGCATGCACACGCATGTGTAGTGTGACCAAAGTGTAAGTAGAAGTAGCAAGATATACCTGGTATTCCACGTGTTTAAGAGACAGAAAATGACACCAGCAATCCTACCATCATAAAAAACAATTACAGGTTTCCATTTCACACTCAATTGGTAGGAAAGCAGTACCTCTCTGGGTGGTTGCTGTCTACCAACCTACTACCTAGTAATACCTATATACAGTGGTCCCTCGTTTTTTGTAATTAATCCGTTCCTGGAGGAGCTACTATAAACGAAATTTACGATTTGCGGATCAATTTTCCCCATAAGAAATAATGTAAATACAATTAATCCGTTCCCGACACCTAGAAATATTAAAACAAAAAATTTTTTTACATGAAATATACATGTAGTACATAAACAATACAATGGGAAATAATGAATGAAACATTAACAGCATAACACTTACCTTTATTGGAGATTCTTCTTAGTGTATGGGAGACTGGAGGAGGAGAGAGATTGGATTATTTACAGTTTGGAAGGGGAATCCCCTTCCAGCAACACCTCAGGTACCAATTGCTTCTCTGGGGTTGCTTCTCTTCTCTGTTTCTTAATGCCACTAGGACCACCTTGAGAGTCACTGTAATCCTGTCTCGCAAAGTAACTGTGGAGAGAGCTCTGTTTCTGGCGTCTCTTTAACACTTCCCTAAAATGGCCCAAGACTGTTACTGTACATATTTCTCACCTTCTTTACCACAGGCTTGGCACTAGGAGCTTTCTTTGGAGCCGTGGTAGCTTATTTAGTACTTGCAAGCACTAAAATGAGTGGAATATTATGAAATATTTCGTAGGAGCACTTGAGGGGACCTTCACTCGCTGGTAAACAATGCCAGACTGGCTGGGTAGGGAGGCCGGCCCGGCTCACACCGTGCGTACGCGTCCTGGATGAACTACTATTCGCGAGTCAACCTATGAAAAGCGAGTCCATGTTTATACGAAAATACCCCTATGATTGGCGAAATTTACGATTGCCGAGAACTACGAAAAGCGAGGGACCACTGTATATTGGTTAGCATATGGCTGTGAGCCAACAAGCATTTACAAAATACCCATAGCATAAGATGTTACATAATTATGATGTCACCTACATACGTTCATATACATACATATGTATGTATAGTGAACCCTCTCGTTAATGGACTACGAGGGGGCATACGATATTACCGATTGTCCAAAACTTACAGTTGTCTTCTGAATGAGTGAGCCTGGTCTGCAAGACTACCAGACACTAGGAATGCAGGTAGTCATCTGTAATATTACAGTACAGTACTGTGGTGCATTCACTAGTAATTTTATAATACTGCACTGCACACACAAATAATTTTATAGTACTGTGTGTAATTTACAGTAATTTTACTTACCTTTCCATGGTGAAGAGATGTGTAAACTACCATGATTGATAGTGGAGCCTCAGACTAACTTTTATTCTGAGTTAGAAAATTTGTGAAGCTTCCCTGACTCAGAATAACTCCTACTGAATATTATACCAGACTAAAAATGAAAAGTTAGATGGCAATTTGTGGTGTGAATATAATGCAGAGAATTCATAGTTTGGAAATTAGGAGGAGTTGTGGGATTACCAAAGCTATTATTGAGAGGGCTGAGGAGGGGTTGTTGAGGTGGTTCAGACATGTAGAGAAGAGGGAACAAAATAGAATGAGTGTATAAATCTTGAGTGGAGGGAAAGCAGGGTAGGGGTTGGCCTAGGAAAGGCAGGAGGGAGGGGGTAAAGGAGGTTTTGTGTGCAAGGAGCTTGGACTTCCAACAAGCATGCATGAGTATGTTTGATAGGAGTGAATGGAGACAAATGGATTTTAGGACAACATGTTGTTGGAGTGTGAGTTAGGGAACATTTATGAAGGGGTTCAGGGAAACTGGCAGGTCGGTCTTGAGTCCTGGAGATGGGAAGTACAGTGTCTGCATTCTGAAGGAGGGGTGTTAATGTTGCAGTTTTATAACTGTAGTGTAAGCTCACCTCTGGCAAGACAGTGATGGAGAGACTGATGAAAGTTTCTCTTTTTCGGGCCACCCTGCCTTGGTGGGAGACTGCCGATGTATTAATAAAAAAAATAAAAAAACTTTGTTTGTGAATATAATTTGTTTTTAAACACTTGTATTAATGTGCCCAGTAGTCTTTATTCCCCAATTTTTACCTTCATGATTTCTATAAAATTTTACATTTTTCTTTTATTTAAATAGAACTTTCTCTGAAAACTTTTATTGTCTAAAATTGAGGTAAACTCCATGTAAACATATGTTTTGATGTATGTTGTCAAAAGTAAGAAATATTTCTGTTTGCTTTTAACTTTACAGCAAAAGGTATTAGGCAAAACCCAGGAAAGGCTCGGTCAGTGTGGGACATGAGGGAAAAAGTCCTTATCTTAGTTATGATAAATGAAATTATTTGTTACCCTGTTGTCCTTACACTTGTCAGTGCACAAGCATAATCAGATGTATCAATAGAGAAAGCTGTTAAAAAAGTAGTGTAAGCATTTATTGATCATTACTGCAACTTTTACAAAATACAGCAGTATAATAGTACAGTATGGATTTTCTTTTGGTAAAATAACATTCAAATATATTTAAATTGATACTTAAATTTTTGTATTTTTTTGTAGCCACATATTATTCTTGAGCCATTTTGTTCACCTGAAACAACAAAAATACATTGTTGTACCTTAAAAGTTTAGTTTTAGTTTTCCTTAACCTAAAATGTGGTCTTGAAATGTTTATACAGTCTTTAAAATCACTGTCTATCCGCAGACATGCTCTTAAGATTTTTACATATTTTTATATTTTTGACATCACTTTGCTGACTCAGAGGGCTGAGGTGAGGTTGCTGAGATGGTCTGAACATGCTGAGAGATTGAAGAGCAGTTGACAAAGAAGGTACATAAATCCTGGGTGGAAGACAGGAGAGGAAGGGGTCATCTCAGGAATGGTTGAAGAGAGGGACAGCAAGAAGCTTCTTGGGTTTTAAGGGCTTGAACATCCAGCAGTGCATGAAGACAAGTGGTTTTAAATGGACATACTGTTGGAGTGTGAGCAGGGCAATGTTTATGAAACAATTCAGTGAAATAAGTTAGCTGGACTTGATTCCTGGAGGTAAGAAGGGCAGTGTCTGCACTCTGATGGAGGGTTTGGGATGTTGCAGAGGGAAATTTGATTGTGATGTCAGCCATCTTCTGGGAAGGCAGCAACTGAGTGAATGTTGGTGAATGTGTTATTCTTTGGGTCACTCAGCCTTGGCAGGAGATGGCTGTTAAGTTAAAAAAAAAAAAAATTGGTATATCAGCAGTAACACTTCTCTTGCCTCCTTTCTGCCACTATCCTCTCCTTGATGCCACCTCTCCCCATTACCACAAACCAATAGCAGTGCAAATAATTCTTCAAGTAAGAAAGACTAGTGTTTAAAGTTTGAAGTTGATCAGGGTAGGTAATGTCAAGTCATTGCATGGAAACTTAGTAGGTGGGAGAAAAAATCCAACAACCACTAGGTTTCCAATTTTGAGGTTGTATATGCCTAATAATCCTGTCTTCCATTCTACCCCCTCCTTCCACGAATAGGATGGTAACATATGTTAGTATAGCTTCATTTAATTGTTGCCCCTATATACTTCTCCCTTTTCTTCTCCATATTTTCTCTATTGGCTTCCCTTATTAATTTACTTCCCATTTGCATCCACCCTGCATCTTACGTTTCTCTCCTTGGGGAGTCCAGACAGTTCGTATTTGATTTTCCCCTCATTAATTCGTGAAATCTCCCCTACCTGTTATAACTTCATGCTTGCTCTTTCTTAAATTTTTCCATTCTCATTCTCCTGCGCTTATGGTTCTTAATCTCTTGATGGTGCTGCGTATGCAGCAGCTTTTCCTGAGGAAATCATCTGAGATCATTTACTAGACTTAGCCATTGTTTACATGGCTGACTTGTATGCAATTTTCATGGCCATTCATGGCATCAATGTCCACCTCATCATTCATAGTCATTTTTGACTCCTGCAGTGCATTTACAGGCTATCCGTAAATTTGAATCTCCCTTATCCCATCGCCTTTTGTGTGCAATTTTGATTATGCTGCATTTCTAGTAAACACAGATGTCTTTTGCTGGGTCCTACATCTTGATGTTCAGGGTAACGAACAGGCAGATTCAGCCACTTAGTCAGCTGTTCATGGCCTCCCAATTTTGCATGGGAATTCCTTTCTTTGGGCTATTTTTCAGTGATTTTGATAACTTCACAATGGCTGGCAAGAATGGGAGTCTGAATTAGTGCAGATTTTTTTTTTTTTTTTTTTTTTTTTTTTTTTTTTGTCAAACCACGTTTGGGTTTCTGGCCATCTTCTCACCGCTGTTGGATTTGAGAAACTGCACTCTCCTGCCTATGTACTGGTCACAAGGATCTCATTCATAGACACTGGAAAAAAATGCCTGACACTGCTCTAACACAATCTAACTGACCTCCTTGCTGAAAGTCCCACCTTAGACTCAGATTCTGCTGCTTGCTGCTACTGAGATGTTGTTGGAGATGGGATGCAACATAGGATTTTGTGATACCAGCCCTTTGGGGCCAAGGGACATCCAGCGTTGTTCCAAGGTCCTCTTGGTCGCCAGCACTGTTGTCATCACAGCATGAGTGACATTTTAACAGAAACTAGTTGCACAAACATTTATTTTATTTTTCCTCTTACACCTCCACCCCTACTCTTACTAACCCTTACCTTGCACACACTTGCTTCTTACTTCCATCTAACCTCCATATATTCCTTTAGCACATCCCTCCCTGTAACTCTGCTTGACCCTTTTGGGTTTAGTGCTTGATTTGATTTGGACACTGCTTGCCCAACTCAACTCTTAACACTACCCCTAGAGGAAAGTCTCATTTTGGTGAGGAGCTTTTGATCCAAGGAATTGGACGACTTCCTTGGATTCCTGGAGTATACCTGGACAGGGTTTCGGGGGTCAATGCCCCTGTGCCCTGGTCTGTGACCAGGCCTCATGGTCGATCAGGGCCTGATCAACCAGGCTGTTACTGTTGGCCGCACATAAACCAATGTGCGAACCACAGCCTGGTTGATCAGGTACTGTCTTTAGATGCCAGTACAAAAAGCCTTCTTGAAGACAGCCATGGGTCTATTGGTAATCCCCCTTATGTATGCTGGGAGGCAGTTGAAGTCTTGGGTCTCTGACACTTATTGTGTTGTTTCTTAGCGTGCTAGTGATGCCCCTGCTTTTCACTGGGGAGAGTTGCATCGCCTACCGAATCTTTTGCTTTCATAGGGAGTGATTTTCTTGTGGAAATTTTGTACTAATCCCTCTAGGATTTTCCAGGTGTATATCATCGTGTATCTCTCCTGCTTGCATTCCAGGGAGTACAGGTTGAGGAACTTCAACCATTTCCAGTAATTTAGGTGTTTTATCGTACATATGTGTGCTGAGACCTTGTGGCTTAGCGCTTCTTTTTTATTATAATAATAATGTGTGCCGTGAAGGTTTTCTGTACATTTTCTAGGTCAGCAATTTCACCTGCCTTGAAAGGCACTGTTAGTGTGCAGCAATATTCCAGCCTAGATACAACAAATGACCTGAAGAGTGTCATCATGGACTTGGCATTCCTAGTTTTGAAGGTTCTCATTATCTATCCTGTCATTTTTCTAGCAGATGTAACTGATACAATGTAGTAGTTTTTGAAAGTGAGATCCTCTGACATTATCACTCCCAGGTCCTTTACATTAGTTTTTTGCTCTATTGTGTGGTTGGAATTTGTTTTATACTCCAATATAGTTTGAATTTCCTCACATTTTCCATATCCTGATAATTGAATTTTCTCTTCATTGAATTTCATATTGTTTTCTATGGCCCATTTCCCCTCAAGGAAGGTTCCTTGAGGTTGGTGAGGGGCTCTTGATTTAGGGAATTGGATCTGTGCTCCAGTTCCCCGAATTAAGCCTGAATGCCTTCCACATCCCCCCCCCAGGCGCTGTATAATCCTCCGGGTTTAGCGCTTCCCCCTTGATAATAATAATAATATGGCCCATTTAAAGATTTTGTTGATGTCCGCCTGGAGTCGAGCAGTGTCTTCAATGGAGGACACTGTCATGCAACTTCCGGTATCATCTGCAAAGGAAGACACTGTGCTGTGGCTTACATCCCTGTCTACGTCAGATATAAGGATGAATAACAGGATGGCAGCGAGTACTGTGCCTTGTGGAATAGAGCTTTTCACAGTAACCGCCTCTCAGACTTTACTCTGTTGACTATTACTCTGCACTGTTTGTTGGGAAATTATAGATCCATCTACCAACTTTTCCTGTTATTCCTTTATCACACAAATGCACTGTTACACTATGGTCACACTTGTCAAAGGCTTTTGCAAAGTCTGTGTATATATCTGTGCTTTGTTTGTCTTCTAGAGCATCCAAGACCTTGGCACAGTGGTCCAGTAATTGGGACAGACAGGAGCGACCTGCTCTAAACTCATTTTGCCCTGGGTTGTGTAAATGATGGGTATCTAGATGAATGGCGATCTTGCTTCTTAGAACCTTTTCAAAGATTTTTTGATATGGGATGTTAGTGCTATCGGTCTGTAGCTGTATAGTCCTTGTGGCTTAGCACTTCTTTTTGATTATAATAATAATATTGGTCTGTAATTCTTTGCTATTGCTTTACTGCCCCCTTTGTGGAGTGGGGCTATGTCGCTTGTTTTTAGCAGCTGTGGGATGACCCCTGTGTCCATGCTCCCTTTTCATAGAATGTTAAAAGCAGTTCTTGATAACACGGGGTTCCACGTGTCTGGGCCTGGTGCAGAGTGCATGGTCATGTTATTTATCGCCTTTTCAAAGTCATGTGGTTTAAGGATAAAAAATTAATTTAGGTCTTCGACTCTTAGTCTGGCTAGCGGCTCGCTAAAAACTGAGTCATACTGGGACTTGAGTATGACTCCTATGGGTTTAACACTGTCTCGCTATGAATGTAATGATTATTATTATACTTGTTAAGTGCTAAACCCATGTGGGTCAGTGCAAGAACTAGTAAAGGCCTGATCCTCCATCCACCAATGACAATATGACCAGCAACTAGCAATCAAAGAATTGGAGTTATTTCCCCTTTCCTTGGATCAAACCTAATTACCCATTTCCCAAGCACTGTATGACCCCTGTGCGGTCATACATGAATGAAACATTCTTATTTATTAAAGACGAAATGTACCATAGGATAGACGAAGGAAAAAAAAGATGGATGGTGTTTTGAGGCAATGTGGAAAGAAAAAAACACGGAAAAAAAGTCTAGGGACTGGGTCGCAAAGTTTTGGTATACTTAGGGTAAAGTCACAGTGGTAAAGAACTATTTACATGTTTATATCTGGTTGCAATCGTAATTATTTATGCAGATATGAATTAGGTTACAGAAAAAAAGTGGTTATGCATTATTTACAGTAGGTAAAGTCTGGGTATTTTTCCAGAATGGTTGGTAATATACCACTGCAGATAAAATACTTTGACATGAGTAAGCCGTCTCTGAATTCATTAATTTTATTTCATTCCACCATATAATGACGCAAGGCGTATACCCGGAGGGTATTTCGGGGTCAACACCCCTGCAGCCCGGTCTATGACCAGGCCTCGCAGTGGATCAGGGCCTGATCAACCAGGCTGTTACTGCTGGCGGCACGTAAACCGATGTACG